GTGGAAAATGGATAGACCTTGGTGGATGAAGACGGATTTTTGCACTCAATACAATAGCAACTCCAGCTGCAGCTGCTGTACAGATGTGGTTTCCTTGCTGGAGCAGCTTAATATCTCCCCTGGTACTTGGTATCATTTGATTTAGAAGACACCTTTTTCTCCATCTATATCCATAAGGTTCACCAGAACTAATTTACTTTCAGCTGGCAAAGCTAGAAATACCTCATTACTGACCCACCCCAGAGGCTCATCGACTCTCTAGCCCTGTAATGCAACCCAGTTCACAGGGTATCTCAGCCTTGTCTTCCACAAAGCAACACACTTACATGGGCAACTGTACACTGATTGGATCAAGTGAACAAGCAGTACACCCATGCTGGACTTGTTGGTAAACCATTTGTACTTCAAAGGGTGAGAAATGAATCTAACTAAAATTCAAAGGCTAAGTCTACTGGTATCTCAGTCTACTGGTGTGGAGTTGCAGAAATCTCCTGTCTAGGGTGAAGGACAAGTTATTGCCCCCGACCCCTCCTACAAACAAGGACACAATACCTAGTGAGCGCATCTGGATTTTGGAGGTAATGCATTCTGCATTTGTATTCTTTCAGCCATTTCCTGAGCATCTCAGAAAGCTATTTTTTAGAGATTTTTTTAATACATACATTTAGATATGCATAATGATGCCATTCACCATAGAGTTGTACCTGTATGTGATATATCTTGTTTTTTCCCATTCCCCTCCTCTCAATTTCCCTTGCTCTCATTTACAAAAGTTTTATTTCCATTTTTTCTTTTATTCTTGTTTTCCTGTCCCTCCCTTCCTCCCCCCACCTCCCTCCCTTGTACACCTTCTCATTTAATCATTTTCTTTCTGCTTCTCAATATCTATTCATATTTTGGCTCTTCTTTACACTTTCCATGTCTCCTACCAGAAATACATATTTAAACATGTGTGCACAATTTATTTCACTTAAGAGTATGGTCTCAAAGTTTATCTATGTCTTGGTTACTTTCCTCTGGTTGCTGAGACAAAATAACTGACACCCAAAATTAAGGAAAGAAAGATTTATTTAGCTCTCAGTGTGTGGAGGTTTCAGTCTATAATCAGCTGGCTCCAAGGTGGCATGGCTGAGGGGCAGCCGTTCATGGCAACAGCAGATACCAACAGCAACAAGAGCAAAAGAGAAGAACACAAGAAGACTTTCTGTCCCTTATCCCTTGTAGTACTCACAGCCATAATCCCAGCATTTGACCATGAATCAGTCACAAACTCTAGAATCTGCTCCCATGACCACATGAGACTTTGTGGGGGTCACTTAGACATAAACAATCCATTTGGCTAGAAATGTCTCATCTTTCTTTATGGAATAGTACCCCATTGTATAAAAAAATCCACATCTTCCTTCATTCATCAGTTGTTGAGCATTTGGGCTGTTTCCAAGATTTAGCTGTTTGAAACCTTGCCACTATAAACATGGGTGTGAATTTATCACTGTGGTATGATTGATTGATTGCCTGAGTTTCTGTCTTTTTGAGACAAGGTTCCACTACACAGTTCAGGCTGGATTTGAACTCTCTTTGTAGCCCAAGCTAGCCTCAAATTCCCTGCAATCTTCCTGCCTCAACCTCCCAAGAGCTGGAATTATAGGCATGTGCCACTGCCTGCAGCTGATGCTTTTAATTCTTCTGGGAAGTTACCAAGGAGGGAAATAGCTGGATCAACTGGAACTTCTAGGTTTAGATATTTGAGAAATCTCCACAGATTTCCACAGTGGTTACACCAGTCTGAATTCCCATCAATGGTGGAGAAGAGATCCTTTTTCTCCACAGCCCCAATCAGCATTTATTATGGGTTGATTTCTTCAAAATGGTCATTCTTTCTGGACTAAGATGAAATCTCAGCATTGTTTTAATATGCATCTTTCAAATGACCAGTGATATTGAGTACTTTTATATATTTGCTTGCCATTTGTATTTTTTCATATGAGAAGTGACTTTTCATTTCAGATGCCCATTTTTTGGTTGGGTCTTTAAATTTGGGGGACACCTTGATTGATGTGTTTTGAAATTTTATTTTTTTAGTGAGTTGTCTCTCCACTGTGGTGGTCTCTCTTGCTTTGCAAAAGCCATAAGATGAAATTCTAGTTGTTCTTTGTGGTATTTCTTATGGAATCAGGACTTTGTTTATAAAGTCTTTGTCTACCCCAATATCCTTAAGAATTCTACCTGTTCTATCTTGCAGTAGATTTAGTGTTGTTTTGACATTTAGATCTTTGATCCATTTTGATTTTAGCTTAAGTATATGGTGAAAGATATGGGTCTAGTTCTAATCTCCAGCATGTAGAAAACCAGTTTTTTCTGCACCATTTGTTAAAAGAGGCTTTCTTCTAATGAAGTTTTCTTTGGCTCCTGTCAAAGATAAGGTGACTGAGTGCGTCTGGGGATGCTTCTGCATCTTCTAATCTGTTCCATTGATTCTTGGGTCTGTTTTTTTCAGTATCATTTGGATTCATCACAGTGGTTTTATACTACAGTTTCAAGTAAGGGGTTGTGATGCCCCCTGCCTTGTTTTTGTTGCCCAGAATTGCTTTTATTGTTCTAGACCTTTTCTGTTTCCAAATGAATTTTAAGACTGTTTTCTCTAGTTCTGTGAGGTGTGCTACTGGTTATTTTTGTCTTTTTGAGACAAGGTCTCACTATGCAGTGCAGGCTGGCTGGCCTTGGACTCATTTTGTAGCCCAGGCTGGTCTTGAACTTGCAAATGATTTTCCTGCCTCAGCCTCTAAAGTGCTGGGATTACAGAAGTGTGTCACCACACTCAGCTTTGCTAATGGTATTTTGATTGAGATTGCATCCCAATCTGTATAAAAATTTTGGAAGTATGGTCATTTTCACTATACTGGTTTTCCTACTCAAGAACAAATGATGTATTTCCACTTTCTGATATCCTCTATCTCCTTGGAGCACTGTAATTTTCAATGTAAAGGTCTTTTACGTCCTTCATTAATTTCTAGGTATTTTCAGTTTTTTGGATGCTATTACGAAAGGTATTGTTTCCCAAGTTTTTCTCTCAGTAAATTTGTTGTGTATAGGGTGCTACTGATTTTTGAATGTTGACTGTGTATCCAGCTATGCTACTGAATTTGGCTATTAAATCTAGAAAACTTTTGGTAGAGTTTTTGGAATCTTCTATCTGTAAATAATAATTTAATTTCTCCAACTCTTTTTCTTCTTTTGTCTTGTTCAATTGCTCTAGCTAGTATTTCCTAAACTATACTGGATAAGAGTGGTGAAAGTGGACACCTTTGTCTCATTCCAGATCTGAGTGAAAACTTTCAGTATTGGCCAATGGCTTGTCATAGATGGCTTTTATCAGGTTAAAAGAAAGATCACCTATTCCAACTTTCTGCAGAGTTTTTCTTTAAAATCACGAGTGATGTTGGACGTCAAACGCTTTTTTTTTTTTTTTTTTTTTTTTGCAGCTCTTGAGATGATCATATGGCTTTTGTCGTTAGCGCTATTAAAACGGTATGTTACATTTATTGCTTTGCATATGTTGAACCATCCTTGCATTCCTGGGATGAATCTTTCTGGGCCACGATGTATAATTTTGATGATTTGCAGCATTTTGTTTGCCAGTATCTTATTGAATATTTTTCCATCTGTGTTCATTAGGGAGATTGGCCTGTAGTTTTTTTGGTTGGATCCTTCTCTAGTTTTGGTACCAGAGTAATGTTGTTTCCAGAAATAAATTTGGGAGTATTGCTTCCTTTTAACTTACTTTTTAGAAGGTCTTCTCCTAATTTGCATTGTCTTTTCTAAGTTGTTTACAGAACTCAGCAGTGAATGTATCAGGGCCCGAGTTTCTTTGTTGGTAATTTTTAACTACATTTTCAATTTTGACTGATACTAGATTTAGAATTTTTAGATCTTGATTTAGCTTGTTAATTCATACCTAGAAATCTATCCACTTCTGTTTTCTGTCCTATTAGAATACAGTTCTTGAATTAGTTATTAGTGACCTTCTGGATTTCTGCAGGATCTGTTGTGATTTCTCCCTAATTGCTTTTTTTTTTTTTTTTTTTTTTTTTGAGATAAGAGTTTCACTTCAGCCTGATCTTGAACTCACTTTGTAGCCTGGACTGGCCTCAAACTCACAGCACCTGCCTCAGCCTGAGGTTAGGCACGTACCACTATGCCTAATATTTAATCTCCTGGATATGAGTCTGTTTCAAGATTCTATTTCTTTCCTATGTTGGCATTCATAGTTTCTATCGTTTACCTACGCTCATCTATCTTTTTTATTGGTATCCCCTCTATAGTCACTAACCATGTCTTTCATGATGGTCACCATCCCTGTAGTTACCTGAGAAACTTTCTGATTTTTCTCTAGGGCTCATTCATCTGTTTTGTTACTTCTGCTGTTACCACTTCAGAGTCCAGTGGGTGGCTTTCATGTTGTCCCACCTCATTATCTGCTGGGTTTTCTTTTGGTGAACTGGAAGTCGGGATGCATTCTGCTTAAGTGTCTTCTCATTTCCTATTTTTTAAAAGTTTAATTACTGGATTGATGCTTGTAAATTGGTTGTGGCACATGGCTTTATTGATCAATTCCTGGTACCAAAAAACAGAAAGATAAAACACAAGATAAAAAAGAAAACCAAATATCCACTTGAAGGGTATGTCTTTGCTGTCATTGGTAGACAGAGTAGGCAGAGAGCCCAGATCTATGTGGATTAATCCCAGCAAACCAGCTATAGATTTATAGCAAGGCAGCAGATAATCCCAGAAAGCCTGTACATTTAGTTCCAGTGAAGTTCAGGCTGCTTTCCGACTATAAGACTAGAACTCAATTTGTTCAGCTTGCAGCACTTTGTGCCTTGTCAGCACATTTAGGGGGTCCAAGGAAGACTTTTGCAGGTGAGGTCCCAAGGTTAAAGAAAGCACGTGTGCAAGACATTAGCAACAGGAGGCAGCACAGAGCAGAGCAGAGTACCAGAGCCAGAACCACTTGTGTCTTTATTGTATAATTCTTATCCCAGTAATTATCTCATGTTTACATTCTTACTTAATGCTGTAACCAGCACAAGTGTGTTAACTGTCCTGAGTCATGGTTACATAACTGTATCCCACTGTGTGCCTGTGCTAGACAAGCAGAGTCATATCTTCAGGTTCTTTAGATGCTCCTGAGCTTTGCAGCAATCTGAGTGGTTCCCCACATTGTGCCCCCCACCAAAGGTTGGAGTATATAAAATTCTTTATGTAACAAGGCACAAGTACCTGCAGTTAACAAATGAAGAGCTATATGGTCTAGCAAATCCACTTTTTTCATTTGAACAGTTTCATCTGTGAGCAACATCAAAGGCCTGGCATGTAACATTCAAGGCCTGGGCCATAGATTGAGCGAAGGATTCAATGTCGAGGGCTGTTTATGGTCCTGGGCCCTGGTAAGATGCTACCCCTGGTCAGACACTATTTCTAGCGGTATCAGCAATCAATTTTTCTGATCTGATGCTATCCCTAGTGATGAAGCATTGCAATGCCCGGTCAAGGCATCTGTTAAGTCATTTTGTGGGGAGAGGGAGCTCTGGCTTATGTTCAGAACCACTGGCCATGCTCCCATATATCTCACCACAGGTCAGCATCCCACAAGGGACAGTGCCCTGTCACTCCTGAGCTGCCCCACCCAGCCAGAGCACCAGCCCCTCAACGTGGCCCAACTCCCTGCACACATGTAGGGGGCCTTCATGCATCACAGTCTGTGATTCTGCCCTTTGGGGTCGGTTCACAGCATCCATCAGTATATCCAGCACCAGCCAGAGATTCCTTTTTGTTCTGCAGAGGGTCAAATCCTCCAGAATGGATCTGTGGGCCACATACATCACGAGTCCCAAAACAGTTGCCAGTTCAGCTGTCAACAGGCTAGCCGAGAAAGAGGCCACTGTTGGAGATATGGCCTCCAAAGTGTGAGAGTGGTCACTTGTGCCACTCTACTCTGGGATGGGTAGTTCACATCCATACCAGCCCTGTCTGTCCCATGATTGCTCACAGGTGTGCAGAGCTACTGTTTCTCAATTAGAACACCAGCTCTTGGCTCCCTTCTGACTGTGGAGGCAATTATGCCCTGAATGAGTGGGCCAGAGCCAGAAGAACAAAGCTGCCCTGATGAAGCTGCTCAAAGCCCTTGTATAATACCCACACTCTCCCATATGATGATTTGTAACACCTCCTAATACAGGGTGGATGCTTTGTAAATAGTTGTTACATTGTACTGCTTAAGCAAAACAGTATATTCATGACTAATCCAGACACAACCATAATAGACCTAAGTGCATTTCAACCTACAGTTTAAGTCTCAGTACCAAATTATGGACTGCAGATTTAGCTCAGTGGCACAAGTGTCTGTCAGGCAAGCACAAGGTCTTGAGTTTGATGCCCAGTACCAAAAATATGCCTGGCAAGGCAAAACAAAGTCAGCAGGGGAGATTGCCTGGCAGCCTTTGGTGACCTTATGTTGGGAAACTAATTCAACTGGAGGGAGTTGGGGAGGTCTGTGTACCTAGATGATCAGCCTACCTTATTGGTACTTGTGTTGGGCTGCCACAGGGCCATCAGGTATGTTCTTTGGCTAAGGTAATGGGAAGCCAGTTACTCTTAGCTGAATGGACTGACCCCAGGAGAATGGACCAGTAACGACAACTGTCCTTTGGTACGGTGCTAGGCCCAGGCATCAGTCCCCTGGTACCTGCTCCAGGCAATGGCTGTCTTCTGTACCGGGCTTTTCCCCTTTCCAGACACCAGCCACTCCCTTGGTCTCCTCTCCAATAGAAGGAAATCAAATTCTTATCTCACATCTGTACTTCTGATCCTTGATGTGCTCCCTTCTCCGCAGGATCTGCATTCTGTAAGTATCTAAAAGCCATAGATCCCCCTAGAGTGACAACATAACAGAAGCACAGTGAAGATCACGCTCCTGTGTGTGCTGGCCTACAGGGGGATGGAGAGACATATGGACTGTTTTGGCTTCTTCACTTCTAACATCTTTGCAGCTACTCAGCTTCCTTCCAGGGAAGAATTTTACATTTCTTACCCAGAGCAGGGCAGGAAGAGCAAACTGGGAAATGAGCAACCTTTCTGTCCATGCATTTATGTTTGGCTTAAATGTTGCTTACAACCCCATAATGCATATAGTTACTGTATTCACATTATAAACAAACATCTCAGCACTCGAGATGCTGAAACAAAAGGATCATGAGTCTAAGGCTGGCTTGGGCTACACAATAAATTTGAAGCCATCTTGGAGCACATGGAGCACTGTGAGACTTTTGTCTCAAAACAAAACACATAAGGAGAAATGAGAGGGGGAAGGGAGAGGAAAAAGAGCAAGAAAGACAGGCAGACAGACACAAACAGAGGCAGGCAGAGACTGAGAGGCTGAGACTTTAAAATGTTGGCTGGTAGCCAGGTATGGTGGTGCACACCTGTAATCTCAGCTGAGGCAAAAGGATCCTTGTGAGTTTGAGACCAGCCTGGGTTACAAAGTGAGCTCAAGGCCAGCCTGAATGGCATAGTGAGATCCTGCCTCAAAAAGACCAAAAAAAAAAAAAAAAAAAAAAGTCATAAAAGTCCAAGGTCACAAAGTGAGTGACAGAATGGAGATTGGAACCCAAGGTCAGCCTCTGAGGTCCAGTCTCAGAAACCTAGTTTCTGATCAACCCGAGTAGACTTGAGGTAAAAGAGAATAGTGTTTACTCTTTATTCACCTTCCCAGATCCTGACTGCATTTCCAGAAATAACCTGCATTTCATTCTTTGCCTCCAAACAATGCCTGGGAATCAACTTAGAAATACAACTGACAGATTCTTACAAATACTTATTCTATTATATTCTCAAATTTAAACTCTCAGAAAACAATCTCAATTCTCAACAACTGTGTAGCTGGGCATGGTGGCACACACCTGTAACCTCAGCACTCAGGAGGCTGAGGCAGTTTGAGGTGAGCATGGGCTATTGAGTTACAGGCCAGACCTGTCTCAAAAATAAAAAAAATAAAAAAGTTCCTTGTTTAGCTGAATAATATGTATTGAATGTTTGATAAACAAGATAACTTTATCTCTAGTGGAAGGTAACTGTTTCAAATAAACTCCAGCCCTTTTTCCTACTCAGCAAACATATTGTTACTTACTGAAATGTGATAAAACTTAAAAATAGCCAGGCTGCTGGAACCTAGCATTCTGACATTCCAGGAAGCTCAGTGGAGAGTGGGCAAGAAAGTGGAAAGTTCAACCCCAACCTACGCAACTTAGCAGACCTGTGTCAAAATAAAAAAGAAAGAAGAGCTAAGGTTGATATATCAACTTGAGAAGTTTAGAAGTTTAACAAGAGACTCAGATGGAGCCAACATTCTTACTTTGTAAACATCATCTTGTGCAAGAGGAGGGCAAGATTTATGAGTGCTACACCTGCCCTGGAGTGATGGAGGGGTGGTCTGTGTACAATATAAAGGTAGAAAAGAGGCTTGCTCCCCACACTGTTTTGCCCTGGCTGCTGCCTTGAAGCGTTGCCCTGGTGCCAAGACCACCCTGCCTTGGAGCAAGCTTATCGTGGACTGAAACCTTCACAATCAGTGAGCTAAATAAACCTCTCCTTCCTTCATTTTGGGGGTTGGGTATTTTGGCCCAGCCATGACAGCAAAGTAACCAAGACACCCAGCCTAGGCAACTTAGCCAGATCTATGTCAAAATAAAAAACAAAAAGGAGCTGGGAAGCTGGATGTGGTGGTACATGCCTGTAAATCCTAGCACTCAGGAGGCTTAAGCAGGAGGACTGCCACAAGTCTGAGGTCAGCATGGGCCACATACTGAGTTCAAGGCCAGTCTGCACTACATAATGAGATTCTGTCTCAAAAAAAAAAAAGCTGGGGTTCAGTGCTAAATCACTGGGTTAAATCTCCAGTATTACCAAAACAAAACATATTGTATATACTATATACATTTTAACCTAAGAGCATTGTATTTTTTTCACCCATTTCTTAGGTCCCCTATGGGCTTTCCACACCACCAAACTGCAATGCCAGTTCCTTTTCAGTTATGGGGATGGAAATGTTCAGGATTCACAGAAGCCAGGTCAAAGAACAGAAGCCGATTTCCAACAAGTAACCTCACTTGGCTAGGCCTTGTGCTAGAGGACCAACCGCCCACAGGCTACTGGGCAGGGTAAGGATTCTCTGGGGAGACTGCTTTCTACCTTATCTGCCCCTGCACTAGACTGCTGCACTGGCGGAGGATAAGCAGGTGTGCTTTGAAGTGTTTTGTGTGCTTTGAAGATATCAAAAGAGACTTCCCAGGACTACCAAAATCCTCTCCCACTATGGCCCAGCTTTGATTCCCATTGCCAAACTTTCTTCACCACTGTCAACATGACCTTTGCGACTGGGCAGCATACTCACCTACTCTGGCCTTGAACCTAGTTCAGGGTTCTCATCACAGAATTGCAAGAGCCACAAAGCAAGGGAGCCTTTCTTCCTGAAGCCCCCAGGAACAAGGACAACTAGAGACGACTAGGATGGGACTATAGCTGAGCTTCCTGACTGATGTGGAAAATGTCCACAGGAGACATGGAACCAAGTGACCTCTTTTACGTGCACTGCCAGAAAAACTAATTAAAGGGATGGCAGAAACTGAGGAAGAGGCAGGCAGCCACTGGGAAGTCCTGGGTGAGGGAAGAGCACAGTGCAGGTGAAACCAGCCACTCTGATCCAAGCTCCCACACCATGGGTTCCTCCCAGGATCCACTTTCCCCCTGGGAAAAGAAACAGGAGCACATAGTTCAGGTGCTTTTGTCCTTGCAGATCTCTGTGTGCAGTCTACCTGGTCACATTTATTCAATACTCTTACTTACTTAAGTGATTGTGAGTTTGGTCAGAGATCTGACTGGAAGCCCGTATTTCCAGCGACTGTCCTGGAATGTGCCTATCAGCCATAAAACAGAAGGTTGAGACTTTCTCTGTGTTGAGGGGAAGCCACAGCTCTGGCCCAACGCTCTGGCTGTGTCCTTTGACATGTGGACCCTACACCACACCAACGGGGATCACTGTACTCCTCCACTGAAGCATGGAGAAATTCACCATGTTCACAGACCCTCTCATAGGAAGCTTCTTGGACAGACCCAGGAGAAAGCTGGAAGGGTGGACAAGGCAGCCAGAATAGGTGAGTATATGAAAGTAGAAATGGTCTTGAGAAGACGATCCCATTAAAACCAAGCTGTCAGGAAGTGGGTTCAGGGGCTGGGGATTTAGCTCAGTGGCATAAGTGCCTGCCTTGCAAGTAGGCAGTCGTGAGTTCGATCCCTGGTACCGATAAAAAGGAAAAGGAAAAAGACCAAAAAAAAGGAAGTGGGTTCAGGATGTCATCTCTCCTGCCTATTTACCGAGGCCATCTGAAGGTTTTGGAAGTGGCTCCTCAGGAAAGGAGGTAGGAAGTAAGGGAGGGGAGACCTGAGAAAATGAGGACCTACAGAGGAACCTCATAGGGACAAAGGACTCCTAGCCCAAACACGGCCAGCACTGTGTCTTCTCTGAGCTATAGCTCAAGCACTGTATCAAGACCTAAAGCAAACACACGTGGCTCTGGGAAGGTAGAAACCAAATCCTGCTTTATAAGGCTGCTTGGCCATCACTGGTTCTCTACTGAGATTTGAGGTGCACAGCCAGGCAGCAGGTGACAGAAGAGAGTGAACCTTCCTCACCTGCTCCCCATCACTCCAGCCCTCAGCCCTCCAAATGCCCACCTCGGCAATATAATCACTTCAAAAATACTCTGATGAGGGCAAGGGGAAGGGGCAGGGGTTAGGCTGGTCCGCAGGCGGTTCCCATGAGGTAGCTGGTGCTGGTGCTCCTGGGCAGGCCGTGTGGTGGCAGCCAGTCATGGGCTCATTGCAGCGAGGAAGAAGTCGAAAGCCTCATGGTCTTCCCAGTGCACTTGATCATGGGTAACGTCTGTGTGGAGATGATGGATTCTTTGCTGGTGTCTTCACTGTCCTTTGAGGCAGTGGGTTTCCTGGGAAAAGGGAAGGAGAGAGGGCAGCTTGAGTCTTCTTGAAGTTGGCGGTGGTCCTTTCTTCAGAGGGCACTAGGTTCTTTTTGCAGGAGCAGAGCTTTCTGAAGGGAACATGGTGGAAAGATGGCTTAGACACTGCATAGCCAAGATGAATCTGTCACTTACCTTCAGAGTCTAGGGCACGAATTCCTATGGTACTGTAGGCTGTAGTATATGGATACATTAGTACTGCTAAGTACAGTGTATCTACTTTAAGGCTTACAGCTTCGGTGTAAGTGTGAATATGGTGAGGGAAGGGAGCCCAGAAACTCCCTCCAGCAATGGGAACGGCTTAAAGGGCGGCAGCTTTAGTAGATTCTGTGTGGCAGCTCAGCTTTGCCACCAAGAGCCACCAGAGAGAGTCGACTATGGCTGTAGGCTCTGGTGCTCCCCTAACCCCGGATAGAGAATGCACATTTTGTCACCACGGCCTGGGGAGATAGGAAGAAAGCGTCCCATGCGCAGAAGCCCTTGCCTTGTCAAAGCAGCACTCACCCCAGCTTGCCAGCATCCAGTTTGCTGAAGGTATTGAGCATCTCATCATTCTTTGGGGCAGTCAGAAGTGATGTGGGTAGAGACCACTAAAAACAAAGCAAGCAATGAGACAAAAGGGCCAAGCAGAGGTCAGGCAGGAAGGACTCTTTCCAGCTCTAAATGATCAAGGGACTCTCCCCACCCCCATTCATAAGGCAGGGCCCAAAGGTGTAAAAGTCTTTGCTCTCTCCTGAATCAGAAAGTGGAGTGCAACAGAGCATTTTATTTTATTTTATTTTTTAAAATGGTATCAGGAATCAAACTCTTGGCCTCGCACTTGTGAGGCAGGCACTGTGCTGTTGAGCTATCTCCTCAGCCTTACTTTTTGATCCTTGAAAGACAGGTACTCAGGGGCTGGGGATTTAGCTCAGCGGCATAAGCACCTGCCTTGCAAGCCGGCAGTCATGAGTTTGATCCCCAGTACCATAAAAAGGAAAAAGACAAAAAGAAAGACAGGTACTCAGACAATCCTGGTAGTAATCACTGCGCTAAAAGGAAAGGGTCAAGAAACAGATACCAGATGCCCTGTACCCATTACCCAGGCCAGGTTGTAGTCTTAAGGCAAAGGAGTGAGGGCTGAGAAGGGGTCAACCCCTGCACCAGCGTCACTCACCAGTGGAGCAGAGTCACAGACAAGCCCTGTGTGGAACCCTTTGTAGCACCAACTCCGAAGCAGATCCACTCCTAGGATGAGATAAGCAGGGGTTAGGACTTAATAGGGAGAAATCAGCTGGCCCATGTCCTTCCAGAACTCCATTCCTTAGGTTGCTGGGATTTAATCTCTCACTAAATATAGCTTCCTGCCAACAGGGCCGGGACTCACCTTTGAGCTTGTTGCTATGGTATTTCTGTTCCCACTGAGTGGTCAAAATGTTGAAATATCGTGGCTGCTCAAAAAAGCGGAGATAGCGAGAAGAGATTCGAGATGGAAAAATTCGTTCAAATTGACCACGACGAGAAAACTCGTCCTCCATCTCGACCAGAATTCGTACGTCATCTGGTGTCAGCACATCCAGTACAGATGCATAGAAGTCCTGCGGGCCGAGCAATAGGGAAGAAGCAGACATGACAGAGGCAGATAATCAAGAAACTGGAAGACAGGGAGCACGACCCTGGATCCTAGGGCTCCAGGATTCTCATGGGACCACCAATACCACCTGGTGGGCCAGCTGTGTACACCATCCATTCCTAAGTCCACTGAGCTTAGCTTTTGGCTGTGGACAGGGGCACCCTAGAGGCTCTAAGGTAAGTGGTCTGTTAGACAGGATCAAAGTCAGTGTCCAACTACTTAGATTTGGTACCAGCCTTTGCCTGCTACCACCTCTCTTCCCACTGAGGACTGAACCTAGGGCCTTTGCACTGGGCCTCATATCCCTAGCCTTTTTTAAAAAAATTTTATTTAAGGAGAAAAAAGAAAAAAAAAAAAAAACAGAAAAAGGGTACAAGTTATACAGAATTTCAGAAAAAATACAGTAGGAAATCACTAGTTAATTACATACTGTCATCTTAGAAACAGTTGTTGAAGTTACAAAATTGAAGCATATAGAAGGGACTTTCAAGCAATGAGACTGCAAACAGTTTTGTTCAATGATCCAACAAAACTCAGTAATATGGTTATCTATCTTAGACACTTAAATATATATGCAGTTTATATCTTTTAGAGAACTTTCTTTTCCTTTCTTTTGTACAATGACAATTACACATTTTGGGTTTTATTACTCCCACAGTTCTTATTACTTTTTTTTTTTTTTGAAGAAAGTAAAACCAAATGTGACATACCAGGACAGAGTCAGTCAAATCCCTAGCCTTTAAGATAACTTTCTTTTTTTAAACTCTGAGTCAAAGTATCACTAGGCTGGGCTCAAATTTAAGGTCCTCCTGCCTCATCCTCTTAGAGTGCTGAGATTACAGGCATGCATGACCATACTTGGCTACCTAACATTCTTACATTCAGCTTCCACATCTGCTTCTGAGGCCAAGCCTCTCAAGAGTCACCTTGCACTTCTCAGGGAAAGAAGTAAAGGCCTACAGCTCTGACAATAGAGGACACTGTGCTAAGGGCAGTGGCTCTTGAAAATATGATAAAGAGCATCAATTCTCTTCCAGGGTTAGGTACATGCCAAAAATAAACCTCATTCTAAAGCCCTGGGGTTGCAAATGGTTGAGCTCAGCTTTTTGCTAGAGAAAACCCCAATCTCTTACCTGATCAGGAATTTTCTGTGTCAGGTAATAGGCTTTCTTCATCTTCTGTGCAGTGAAATACTCAGGAGCCATCCGACATTTTTCCCTAAGAGAGAGAAAGTAGGGGTTGGCGGGTGAGATGTGGAAAGCAAAGTATAGAGCCCAGCAGCTTTGCATACTGAGGAAATAGAGAGAGTCTAGCCCGAGAAGACTCTTTTCTCAAGAGAAGACGAAGATGTCAACAAGAAGTTTAGCACTTGAATGGAACACACTGAAATGCATTCCACTCAGGAGGCCTGTCTGAGGGTCAACCAACACCAGTACCATGTAAAAGTACAAGGCCCCCTCTTTTGAATCTGACAAAAAAAAAACCTGGACTTTATTTAGTTTTATTTAGTGAACATTCATTACACCCTCAGCTCTGCTCTACTATCTATATATGACCCTGGATCAAGAACAACCTCCTAAGGGGCTGGGGATTTAGCTCAGCGGCATAAGTACCTGCCTTGCATGCAGGCGGTCGTGAGTTCGATCCCCGGTACCAATAAAAATGAAAAAGACAAAAAAAAAAAAAAAAAAAAAGAACAACCTCCTGTATCCCAGTTTCATCATCCATTACTACAGTCACTGCTGGGAGATAACAGACCTGATGGAAAATCAGCCCCTTGCCCTGAAGAGCTTATGGACAGGTTTGGTAGACGTGATGTGATGTGATGACGTGACACAGCCAAACATGAATTCACAAGGTATGCAGGAGGGAAAATAAGTTTGTTACCACACAAATTAGAATTTTAATTGTACTCTCTAGCTAATTGATGCTGAATGAGTTACTTAACCCTAGGGATCTTCAGTTTGCTTACCTTTAAACTGCTATGCTAGCATTAACCCTCCACATCACAGGGGGATTTAGCTGCTCTTCTCCAGAGTGGTCCTAAGTCTTTGGGGTATGGAGGAAAAAGCTCATCCTGAGCTGGTGTTATGAAGATATGGTCTGAAGCCAGGTTCGGATGACAGGAGGTCTGGGTGAGGGCCACTTCAGAAGGAAGAAACCTCAGAAGCAGAGGAAAGAACACTGGGACACTAAACTTTTCAGAGTGGACTAAACTGACTGGCCTTTAAGGGTCCTTCCAACCTGACTTTGTGAGTGACCTGATCTGTCAGCACAACAGCCAGGAAGAGACACACAGAAAGATGCACTTAGGAAAAGGAGGCAGACTCCTTGTCAAATGCCCACACGAGGAGTTTAAATCTGGGCCCCAGCCCCATGGAAATTAAGCATGGGAAAAAAAAATGCTACACTTGCTTTCAGGGGTACTGCTGGGGCCCGGCACATGCATGGACAGCAGATCCAGAGTGAGTTCAAAGGAGACCAGGCAGGGGAGAAACCAACATGCGAGGAGCTGACCTGGTAAGGGAGCTGCTGGAGGTGCTGAGGCTGGAACTGATGTTCTCTGTGTTGGGCAGGACAAAACCCGCCAGATTCAGAAGGTCACGGATCATCTGGCCTTTGATACTGATGTCCAGGGGAGAGCTGGAGTGGAGACTTCAGGGAGAAGATGCAAAGCAGGGTCAAAGGAGCTCTGAAGTAGTTTATGGTCCTATATCCAAGTCAGGACTGGCCCCCTGGACTCCTGGCTCCCCTAGAATGTAAAAGGGCTCCAGTACCCAAATTTGAGAACCTCTTGTACCAAAGACAGACAATAACCTTACTCAGGCTGGCAAACCTGTCCATGACCTTGGCTTGCTAGGGAAAAGCAAGCAACAGGGACCAATGTGAAAAGAGTAACTTTTAGTAAGTTCTCACCATTTCCAAAGAAACCTGAAGTAATGGCAAAGAATGAGGGAATGAGCAAATGAAGGCCATGAAAAGACAAATTTTAGTGAAGAAAAGAGCAACAACACTAGAGTGGCAATGAGATCCTGAGGATACCGCAAGGATTCTGCTCTGAAAATACTGAAAACACCACCTACCTGGGGGAAATGTTGACTTCTAGGACCCAAGGCTTGAGGTTCTCATCTAGCATGATATCAAAACCGAAGAGCTCATGGCAGCTGTAGGGCCGCCGGACATATAACTTGAGCAGGCTGGTCACGTAGGGTTCTGACCTGGTCACAGGGACAAGAACATATGCAGCCAGCTTTTTCATAGTCCTACCCAGAGCTGCCCTGCCCATGGGGTGCCTCAGAGAGACAGGCAGAAACAACCTGGGAAAACTGGTTTTTAGGGAAATGTGTCTCTTATGGGACCAGCTCTGCAATGAAGTTCAGGAAATGAACAGAATCTAACTCCATCTACTTCCTATTCCGTCCTCAAAACTGAACCAAATCATGATCCAAGCAAAGTCGTTAGCACAGCAGGAGACCAAAAAGAGGAGGTTCAGCGGCAGACTCCCCCACCCAGCATGGCGGCAGGACTCACGAGATGATGGTTTTAACAACAACATCCTTTATCTTCTCCCAGATGATGTCACTATTGATTCCCTTCTGGCTTAGGTATTTCCACAAAGCCTTCAGGGCCCTGCAGGGGGAGAACGATGGAGTCAATTTGGCAGTATAGTCCAAAATGAGCAATGAAAAAAGAGGAAGGATAAGGAATAAGAGGCCTGAAGGTATTTTCTTCCTATCTCTTCTTTTGACAATTTGAATTAACTCGCATGAACTGAGAACAAAACAGACCAACTGTGGACTGACAAGTAATCTTCAGGTGTGCTATTAATCCTCTACCACTATGTCTCTGAACCTCTAAAACCAAACCCCAAAGCAATCCTCTAAGCCTTCTATCACTGGGCCACTGTTCTTGGTACCATTTGTGGCCCTGGCAGGCTGTCTCGTCTGCATTGGCCTGGTACTCGGTATTCTTCTTATTGATACTGTAGTTGGTCAGGTGCATGAACTTGTTGCCAAGGCTCTTCATAGAAGGGGAATACCTGGAGGTGAGGAGAGGAAAGAATGAGAGAGAAGGAGGAAAATGGCAAACACTTCCCTAACTCCTGAGGAGGCAACTGAGGAGCGCACACCAATCTTTGCAGAGCCACAAGGCCCGAGAAGCGCATCTGCTGGCAAGGGGGCTGCAGAACCATAGGTAAGCCGCCCTCCGTGTGCCACCTCAGCTGGCAGATTTCATGAAGCATAGAGCATCCTTTCTTTCTATTCCCTCCCACCATCTCCCTTGCTAACAAAAACCACCAGAACATTTACTTTTTTGTTTAGAGCCCTCTACTTTCCCTCTAAGGAAAATGAATCCCCAAACTGTCACCTCATTACTGTCACATACTTGCAACTGGCAAAGCGGACAAGTCCATCTGAAAAGAGGTAAATCCGAAGAGGATCATAGGAAGTGACGTAAACATAGATCCGCAGATCAAACTTGCTGCCACTGATGAGGTAGGGTTTGTGCAGATACCTACAGAGAGGAAAGGCCAGCTTTGCATCAGATGAGATGGGGTCCCGGAAGTAACAGCCACAGCAAAAGTCAATTAACAATCCTTAAGATAAAGATCCTAAACCATCCACTGAAAACACCCAATGCCTCTCAGTTGACCAAAGAAGCTCTTAGGCTGGGAGGACAAGAGGCAGAAGAATGCTGTAACAGGGGGCCCTGGAGGCCAGTAGGATGGGGAGATGGGAGAGAGATGTGAGCTAGACAGGCTCACCTCTGCACCAGAAGGGGCCTGTGCTTGGGGAGCTGACTCCACTTGTGAATGACCTGGATGCCAATGCCTCGTGCTGATGCCGGCTATAAGGTGAGTAAAAAGGAGATCAGCTTTGCTCTGGGCCCAACACTCTGTTGTTCCCTTTCTCAGACCATCTGCTGCCCGCTATGACCCACTCACTCACTGGCTTCACAATCCACTTCTGGCGGCGGCTGCTCTCCCAAGTCTTGCGCAGGAGCTTGGCATCCTGGGGCAGGATAAAGGACTGGGGGAAGAAACTGAACTCCTTCTTGCCAAAGCGGCTCTGCATTCGGGACAGGTTCCGCCACAGCCTGTCCTTCCTCCCAATCTGGAATGAGCCTGGGAAGTGGTTTAACTATAGGAGAGGAAACAAAGACTCAGAGCAGGGGACAGTGGAGGTGAGACCAGAGGAAGGCAGCAAGCCCCACTTACACTTCACCTTTCTTAGCAACAGCCCATGGCCTATTCCATCTTACTGTCACCACCTAATGGTCATTATGTATCCAACTGCTCAGCACTCACCAAAAGATGATTAAAACACAGAGCAAAACAGGGATGAAGACAGACACAGGCGCATTCACCTTGAGTGCAAAGAAGTTAAGTCTTCTTCCACAGTAGCCCAGGGGACAAGGACAGAAAAGCATCTGGCTTTTATTACATTTTGAGGACAAGAGACTCATCTGTTCCAATATGAGACCACTCATCCTCAATATACACACTTACCTTGAGGGAATGGCAGTAATGTCCAATGGCTAGAGGGGAAATAATCAACTGAAAACAATCAATGCCTGCCATGACATATGAAGAGGAAAGAGTCCCTGAGAGGCAGCAACTGCCCGAGACATGACAGCAGAACTAGAGGTGTGTGGTTGCTAGGATCTGGGACACTTTCTTCCTCCTGAACTTTCTCCTCTATTGACCCTACTCATTTTGTGCGAGAAGAAATCACCTTCCCACATCTGCCTTCACCGCCCCAATCCTACCCTCCTCCCGGCTTAGTTCAAAGTCCAGGGGAATGGGCTCCTCAGATAGGACCCCTACCTTCTGATGTTCTTGAATGGATCGGAAACTAGATGACTTCATGTGATGACCCCAGCAGCCCAGCCAGTCATCATTTCCTACAGAAAGTAATCAGGGAATCAGCCTGCTAGCAGCCCAGTTCCTGGGACACAGAGTCCCATAGGCCCCAGAAATATTACTGGTTCTGGGCACAGCTCTCTGGCTTGGTTTGGAACAGTTACCATGGAGCTGCTCTACATGAGGCCCAAGGCCAGGGACAGAACAATGGCCTTCTATTTGAGCAACAGGGTTAGCCCAGAGGAGTATCAGAGCTACGCTCCTCTATGAGGTTAGAGACCAAGACAGGCTCCTCAAAAGGGTCTGTACAGAAGAGGGTTAGGGCTCGCCTCCTTCCCAAAGCCCAGCTAGTGGGCCAGGTAACAGGTTCATAGTTAGACAAGTGACTCACTCTTGCTGATTTTGAAGTGGGACCGTCCAATGGTCTGCTTGACAATGTTGGGAGTCACTGTGCTCATCTTCCACCGGAGCAGCTTCCTCTGCTCCCAAGGAAGTTTCTCCACTGAGAAAAAGGCAGGGAATGGGACGTGACAGGGTGGAGGGCAGGAGAGTCACAGTGAAGGGAAGGAAAGATGACAATGGTGCCCATCCTTCCCTGAGTAGGTGAGGCACTAAAACCTGCTCCAGATCAGGGTTTCAGAGGAGCACGCTCTGGGGAGGAAGGGGGCAGTGCAGGAATGAGAGCAAAGAAAGGGGAGATTGAAATGGGAAAGAAACAAGGTTAGAGGGCATAAGCTAAGGCTGAGATTATGAATCTGAAAAGGGACAGCTAAAGGACAGCCAAGGAAAAGTCCCCATACTGTGTCTATAACTAGTTGGGAACTAGACAGTGAGACAACCGGCAGAACAGCCATTCTGGAAGCCTTTCACACCCCATCACCACCTCCTCCCAACTCCATAGCATCCTTGTCCTGGGGCTCTCCTGGACTTGGTCACATTTACCTCTCTCATCTCGAGTACCAAAATAGATGGTAGGGGGAACATTGGGGAAGAGACTATAGATGAGGGCTGGTCGGATAACTTTCTCAGGATTGGAAAGGGATTTGGTCAGAATCTCCACGCAGCTCCTAAGATGAAAAACAAACATGTGGCAGAGAGAGAGAGAATGCAACAGCCCTGAGGTGCTGTCTTAGATATAGAATGATTCCAAAAAGACAAGTGCTTAATAATTGTTTTGGCAAATGTGAATTCATAAGATGCTACAGCTAAGCTACATACATCCACCTATATGAATGTCACCTAGAGAATAAGGTCCTATGATACTTTAATAATACATTTCCAAAATTTCCTGTGATAAGTCACAGGGTGGAAAAGTCCCTGGAAGAGAAGTTCTATGAGAGAAACATGAATTTAGATGGACACTGCTACACTAAGACACAAAATAGAAGACAGAAAAAAAGATCAAACAGACAACTAAATAAGAGAGAAAGATCTAAGAAGAGATATAGACATTTTTAAAAACAAAAAGGGGGAAAAGCAATGGGAAGAAAGGATAATGCTTCTAACTCCTGGTGTATTTGGTTTGGTGTGAAGACGTGTGGGTGGTTGGTGTCTTCCCATTTTGGATGGGACTTTGAACACACGCTTCTCAGGTCACAGACGGCCAACACAGGCGGGACCCCCCTGGCAGCTGCGTCAGGACTTAGGCCAGTGGGCTGCGTGATGTCTACTTTTGTTCCAGCAACACTCAGCCAAGGCTGTTATAAGGAGCATCACAAACAGCAAAGCCTTCAACCACCTGCATGTGCAAATCTTCAGACAGCACTGAAAATTAAAGAGTATAGTTCACAAATATTTATGAGATTAATTTCAGTTTATAAAAACTCATGGTAAGAGTTACTAATATACTTCAGGGTACAAATGCTACCATGGCCTGGAAAGCTCTGGATTGAATTCCAGCAACAACAGCAACAAAAAGTCACCATCGGTTGTTATTTTTAGTACAACAGAAATAGGCACTGTACACAAAACACTTCAATGCTTCAAATCTGGGATTTTTCATGGATTTTACTGGATCAAATTAAATACTAATTCCTAATTAAATAATTTCAATTTTTGGCCAGGGATTGAGCTCAGTGGCTCAAGCACTAGCCTGGAAAGTGCAAGGTCACGAGTTCGATCCCTAGTATAGAAATAAATAAAAAATAAAATAAAATTATTGCAATTGAATCCCATCTTTTATTTCCCCAAACTTTTTCAAAGGCTACCAATTTACTATCAGAATTTAAGATCATTGACAATCAAGGAGAATGAGTTAAGAATGAGTTTTTAAAAGCTAAATTATCATATGACCTGCATCTGGAGAGTACAGTTGCAGGTCATATGAAGAGCAAATAGTTGCCAGGAGGTTAAGGAAAGGACAGGACAGAAGTAGGTGTGGCTGTAAAGGCGTAAGGTAGGAATCTTATAGGGAAGGAAATGTTCTTATCTTGAGATGCAGCTATAGTAATATCCTTTAATAAAATATAACAATGTATACCACACTGTACTACAGTTTTGAAACATGTTGATATTGAGGGAAACTATGTAGAAAGTACAGTGGAATCTCTGTTTTCTTTCGGTCTCTCTCCCTCCTTCCCTTTTGGTGGTGCCAGTGATCAAAACATAGGACCCTGAGTGGACAAGGTAAGTGCTCTACCACTAAGCCATATCCCCAGACTTTCTGTGTTACTTCCTACAGCTGCATATGTCTACAATTCTCTTCAAATCAAAAGTTTAACTAATAAAAGAAAAGTCAGACAGCACTGTTAGCTAACTCTTAAGAGTACTGGACTCATTCTCATGAAACCTGGCTTGTAGTCTAGCAGGGATATAACTTACAACTTTAGAACACTTTCTCTATTTCTCTGGCCCTCAAGTTTTTCATCAGATTCAATGACTTCTATAACATTAAATATTTCCAGAAAAAGAACACAGCAGCAGGAAATGCAATAGAACTCTTTCTGGGAGGCAGAAAGATCACCTGAACCCAATTTGAGCCCTACCCCTGGGCAATGTACCAATTTAATAAGACCATCTTACTTCACATGAAGCCCAGTGTGAAGACCCTGGGTTCAATCACTAGTAAAACATACCCACACAGTGTGCATCTGTCAGCAGCACAAGTGCTCACCTAGCAAGTGTGAGGTTGTGAGTTCAATCCCTGGTTACCCACCCCCCCCAAAAAAGAAAGACAAGAACCAGAACTTATTAGATTTCACTAGAAACAAATATCAAAGGCGAATAGATCTTAAATAAAAAAGTATGCAAAAAGTAATCAATAAATAACAAATAGACATATAAATGTGCCTCACGTAAACAATCAGCTAGTTGAAATGCCACCTCCAGCGATGCTTGGGATCATCATTACGGAAACCACACTGGCTGACACTCGAGGTAAAGTGTTAAGCAGTTAAAATGCTCTTTGGCTCCCTTCTGAAGTTAGTTTTATATGCGGAAATAAGATTGGTATTAACTTAGCCAGGCATCGTGGCACAAGCCTATAATGCCAGCACTCAGGAGGCTGACCACTATGAGTTTAAGGCCAGCCCAGTCTAGATAGTGAGACCACGTCTCAAAAAAAGAGAGCGATTGATATTAACATTTGTATCTTAGTAATAAAACATTGGATTGAAGGTGGGTAAGATGGCATATGCCTTTTATCTTGTCTCCTGGAAAGGCTGAGACAGAAGAGTGGAAAGGCTAGCCTGGGCAACTTAACATGACCCTGTCTCAAAAAAACAAAGAAAAAAAATTTAAATGTGCTGGGATGTAGCTCAGCACTCTTCGCGTTTAGTTCTCAGTATCAGAAGACAAAGGAGAAAGAAAGAAAGAAAGAAAGAAAGAAAGAAAGAAAGAAAGAAAGAAAAGAAATTAAATTTAAATGTGTATAAAATTCTCTAGCTTTCATCCAGATTATTTCATCAACTGGCTTTGGTGGAGTCTAAGTGATGGTCACCCTTAATTAGGGAACCTGTCTCTTGTCAGTCATTTTGTAGAAGAAATAGTTGTGGGCTCCTGCTTAGCTGAGCTGGGGAGTCAAAAGAGGAAGGAAGGTGCCACCAATGAGGGTGTCAGCATGTCCTGTGAATGAGTTTCAGAACTTGCTAAATGATCGTATTTATTTATTTACTGGTCTTTTTGAGACACGGTTTCACTATGCAGTTCAGACCAAGTAATTGAAAAATAGGAGACAGTGAAATGCCATCCAGGATGTCCATCACTGACATCTTTACCATTATGGTTAGTGGGGAGATATCCTAGTGAAATTATACCACCCACAGGGGAAAAAAAATAATGGAAAGGCCAACACAACACAACAGTGTAAAGTAAGTTGTTCAAAAACAGACAAATAATGCAAAAAAGAATTTGGAAAGAGACTAGATGCAATTGTCCAGACTATAATATGGCAGTGTGTATTGAATATTAAAGTATATCAGCCACATAAAAAACTTGAATAAATTTGATAAAATTGTCATTGTTATATTTCCTGTTGTATTACCTTATACAACTAATGGCAAAGTATGTGATTTTTGGTTATCCTATACTTAAATAATGGGACTAGTAAGTGGCTAAAAGTTCCTATCTCTCTTGGAAGTGTCTGTCAAAATAGGATGCATTTGATGGTACAGATGACAATTACTTTCATGTTGGTGATCTAAATGACTTAAGAAATTGTTTCAAATATTATATTTCCTCATTAATTGGTTGCTTTTTTTGTTTTGTTTTATTTTGCTTTGTTGTGGAGGATCGAACTCATGACCTCGCATTTGCCAAGCAGGCACTTATGGTGCTGAGCTAAACCCCCGGACCCAGTTGTTCATTTTTAAAAACACTTATTGAAATTATTTTTCTAACTGAACAATTTTTTGGCACTGCAAGATCAGCTTGCATCCTCAGAAAGTACAATGCTGTTTTTAAGCCCAATCGACCAGTACATATTTGGTCCCCTATTCAAACACCAAAGTCACAATCATAATAGTTTGGTGAAAATGAGTCAGGGTTCTGAGGGCCAGTGTGGTTCTCTCTTCATAATCTTGAAATGACAAAATGAGCATCTACCAGGAATCCACACAACTGACACTCACCGAGAGATCTCGGCCACTGACTCACTGGGGGAGACGGCATTGGAGGAGCACTCAGAGTCCCCTGGAGGAGGAAGCACAGAGAAAGCCAGGCTGGCAGAAGCTGCCACACAGCTTATGCAGCTTTCCTCAACACTCTGGACTCGGCTCTTTCTGGGAAGCTACAAGTGCCACCCAACTACCTTACACTCCCTTCCCTGCACTCAACCAAGACCAAGTGGGTCAGGAGGACCAAAGATCCAATTCCCCGAGTTTCTCCCAGAGGATCCCAAAGGAATTGACTCATGTGGGTGCTAATGTCAGCTCCTAGCATACATTATTAGCCTTCTTCTAAAACAGGCCGTGACAACAGTTAAGAGGTGAAAGGGTTGCTCCCTACTCACCCTCTTCATTCTCATCATGGCTGGAGCAGTCTTCCACACCATCTACTAGTTCTTCTGTATCTTCAGCCTCTGCCTGGTTTGGCTGGAGGTCAGTAGCTGAACTACAAGAAAGAATCATGACTCCACTGCAGCCACTGTTGATTTCCTATGGTCTTGTTTGAGGTCCTATATTGTTTCTACTGTTTTTTGGGGCTGGGTTTTATTCTCTTTTGTATTATTTATGTTAAATCTTATGGCAGGAACTGCTATTTCAAAGATAGCAAGATATATTTTGGATTTACTATTGGCTTGTTTTGAAATCCTTTATTGCATTCATTGTTTTTATTGTTTCTATTCTATTTTGTTCTGTTTGATTTTTACTATGTTCGAAATTATCTGCAGCTATTTTGAAAACATCAAAAGGCATTAAGGTAACTCTTGTTGATTTTGTAATGTTTTGACATGCTGTATTTCTTACACTGGTTTGTTTTGATTGGTTTTACTCTATTTTATCCTCTAAAAAAATCATGACCTCAGCCCAGCGCATGCCATGAGTGAAGTCATTCTCATTCCTACATCATGTCCCAGTATTTGTCTGTTTCCTGTCACCAATCTGGTTGGCTTCTCTTCCTTGGAGTTCAAACTCATTCTTCTCACCATCAAAGTTCACATCTAACCATAGTTCCTTATACCCCTCTTCCACATGGAAGCACTACACTTCCCATTTTTAAAAATGCTTCATGGTATACAAGCACAGAACGCTGCATGCAAAAACTCAGCAGTGAGTGTCTGGCAACTGACGTCAATGTCTCTTGGCCACCTGCTAAGAACTCAGAAGGCAGCTCTGGTGGACCAAAGTTCCAGAACAGGAATGAGGCACAAAGGAAGGAACCAACCATGTCTATGCCCCAACTATGAATGGCTGTCACCTGAGGAATGATCTGGAGTCACAAAACCCCAATTTGACTCTAACTGACATCTGGAATTCTTATTTCTCTCTCCTAGTTAAAACTTAAAATGAGTTAACAAACTGTTTCTATAAAGGACCAAACAGTAAACATTCCCAGTCTGTCACAACTATTAAACCATTCTTATAAGAAAGCAACCACAATCACTAGTAAATAAACAGGCAAGGTTGCACACCAATAAAACTTTATTTATAAAAGCAGGCAACCAGTAAGGATTAGCCTGCAAGTTATAGTGTCCTAATCCCTGCCTATGAGTGACAACCAAAACTTCTCAGACATCTGAAAAATAAAACCAACCTTCAGAAGAAAGAGGTCCATGCCACTGGATTATGGTGAATCCTTTGTATTTCTCTATGTGAACCAGAAACGCTCTCCAACTTACCTAACAACAGGAGAGTCCAGCTCCCTGGCTTCCTTAGGCTCCTCCTTCCCAGGCTGGCCTAGATGGATGGAAGAGAAGCGGGTGGCCACTTCAGCTACGCCAAGGGGCTGAAGGGGAGAAAGGGGAATGACAGCTTTGTCTTCTCCAACTGGCAGGGAGTCAATTACAGAACCACAGGCAGGGCTGGGGTTCAGCCCACTGGCATGTGAGGCAAGGAGGTGAATGCTGATCCTTTTGGTACAGAAGACCGTACTGTCCAACCCCACAGAGTCTGAGGCTCCAGGGAAGATCTTCCTGTCTGATCTAGCATCCTCCTGAGGAAACTGCCGGCCTACCCCAGCAGATTCCCACTGCCTGCTCCTTCTGAGGAGGCTCCACTGGAGGTCAGGGTACACAAAACAAGGCTGTTCAAGCAAGGAGCTTTGCTGTGGCTTCTTCTCAAAGCCCTTTGCAGACAATGTCCTCATAGCTTCAGTGAACCGAGCCTCTTTACCCAGAGCCTGGGAAGTGGAATTGTCATTCAGGCCGTAGGAGTGTGGCTCTGCCCTCGTGGCTAAGCTATTCCAGTTGAACTGGGAAGAGGCAACACTGGCGGTGGATGTGTTGTGGGACGTAGGGGAAGATGGGGTAATATGGACAGTGGCATCATCTAGGACAGTGCCGATGCTTTTGGGCATCTTATGATCAATGTGCTGGGGTGCACAGTCTCCAGTGTTCCCTGAATGATGCCAGGAGACAGGCTCAATCTTGGGTGAGGATACTGGTTTTAGGCCCTCTGTGGCCTGGGAGAAAGGCACTTTAGTGCTATTTGGCCGCATGAAGGAGTTGTTGTTCAACCTGGGCTTGTAGGAGGAAGACAGTGGAGATGTGATCTTCCCTGAGATGGAAGGGGCCAGGCTTGTCCTTGAAGGGTTTTCCCCAACTGTTGTCCGTGAGAGGTATGGTTCTGTAGATGAGGACGCCATGGGCTGGGTCACGGAGAAGACTGTGGAAGAGGTGGCTTTACTGGCAGTGAGCCTGTTGCGAGGAAGGGAAAAAGGTCTTTTCTCTGATGCGCTTGAATGCAAGCAAAAAGACTCCAGTTGCTGGTATGGCTTGTGCCTACTGTTGGAGCGATGGAACAGCAGGGTACTGCTTGACGAGTCTGGGGGACAGTGCAGGTAACAGGAGTTGCTATGGCCTGCAGTGACAGCTGTTGTGCCAGAGCTACATAAAGTGCTGGGGCAAAAAAACCAGGTTGGCTGGAGTGGGGCCCCCGAGATGCCTGGACGCAGCCCTGCTAACAGTGTGCCCGTGTACTTCTCCTCAGCCTTGCAGACTGGCTTCACCTGCTGATGGGCCTGAGCCCAGCCTTCGCCCTCCGAGGGCTTCTCAGGTGGCAGGGCAGGCACTGTGCCTGAGGGGCTGCTCTGCTTGTGGCTGTGCCTGTGGCAGAGGCCAATACTGTGCTGCTCTGCTCCTGCTGAGGCCATGAGGGGCCCACATCATGGCCACGAGGCCTCATGGCCTGGCTCAGGAAAGATGCCACACACCTTTAGTAGCACCAGCTGCATCCTTAGAGTCTGTCAGCCTGCAGAGGAGAAAAATAACTGGGAATGTTGCTGCCCTGGGAAGATGGACACAATGGTCCTCAGGTAAGCAATAGAGTCCCATGCCAGCATTTCTTGGGCAACTGCTCTTGGTCATCATTTGGGGCCCTGGGAGAGCGCCACTAGATTTCCAGGGAGCTTTCAGGGTCTTCCTGCAATCCTAATTCAATTTAAAATGGCTTCCTCAAAGATTAAGACTTTTAAGACTCTACCACTGAGAGGAGGGTTGTGTGTCCATATTCTCTCACTGAGAAAGCTTGCCTTCCTCTCCAAAGAAAAGCATCTCTGTCTCACCACCAAGACTTTTCCAGAGGGTCCAGCTTCCTCACCTAAAACCAGTGATATAAGGCAAGGCTGGAAGTGGCAGAGAACACCACTATCCTCCTCCTCACCCCTGGAAGCTCAAAGATGATCTGAGAATGCATTAGACTTCTACTGCTCTGTACTGTAATTCAACTCTCAGCTGCCTCTGGTTTAGTTTGCTTTGCTTTCCATAGTTAAGGATGATGAGCTTGGACAGGAGCAGAAAATTCCTCTGCTAACCCTAAAGTTCATTCTGGAGGTGAGACAGCAATTTTGTTTCTGTAAGAATCTTGCCAACCCCTCCAATTTAAATTCCAACTCACGTTTTGGTGGGAAAGAAAAAGAAAAAAAATGGAACTAAACGCCAACATTCTCTTTACCTCCAGGAACTATTCCCAACAGCCACAATGGGACAGGAGAGTTCAAGGAGCAGAAGGAATAGAGAGGAAAGAAGCTTTCTTTACTTCAGTTCGGGTTGCTCTCAAGGATGGAGAGCTTGTCACACAGTCTTCTCATTCAGCATTTCCTCTAATGCAGAATCTCTTAGCAAGCCTCCTAGTTCTGGGTCTCAAACAATTTCTTCCACATGGTCACTTCCTGAATCAAATTCACAATATACTGTCCAGCTTTCACCACTCCCAGGGAACACGTGTCTGCTTTCAGAGTGGCAGTAAGGAGAAGAGGTGGGGAATAAAACCTGCCTATACAAAGTCATCCATCTGGGATAATTCTGGGTAGAATCCTAGTATCCTCATCAAGTGTCTTCAGAGTTGTTAGGAAAGAGTAACACCGAAAACTAGCTTGCAGAACCCGCACAACACTGCCCTCTTTTCCTGTAAAGGCTGACCTACATGGATTCTTTCTCAGGAGAGTATAAAAACTCACCTGACTCCAATATTCAAAATGACAGCAGACTAAAAACAGCATGTATGCTAAAACTGGATTTTGAGGCCAGTTACATCAAAATGAGGTGACACAGTCCAAATTATGGAAATACTATGCAGGTACACTAGAAAAGTATACAGAACAGGAAGAGTCAGATACTGCCAATCACTAACAAGACTGTGTGAAGAGGTTTGTGTGTGTGTGTGTGTGTGTGTGTGTGTGTGTGTGCGCTGTGCATACACTCAACAGATTCACGATCCCAGCTCAGTTCTCTTTCAGGAACCCACATCTTGCCCCCAACACAGCACAATGAATGCACCAAAGCAATGGTAGAAAAGGGCTAAGGAGATGAGAACTTGGGCTGGTAACCCTTCAACCCCCCTTCCCAGCGGCTCCCCGAGTATACTACATAATCTCAGATCCTCACGCATCTGTTGTGCTGCTCTAGGCCTTCGTAGGTGGGTTATGTAAGAGAATACCTCAGCCTTCTCATCAGCAACAGATGATTCCACTCTCCCTCACAGCTACTGGCACCCACAACATGATACTTCAGACCAGTGGACAGTCCCTTTTCCACACACTGCAGTGTTGCAAACACCGCCTCTGCCTCTCTGCATCCCACTACATGAATCATCATTCCGGAAGCACTGAACACAAGTAGCCCAACACCAGCTGACTTGCCCTTTAATCTAAATGAGGAAGAAGGAGCTAGCTAAGGGAAGGACAGACCCCATCCTCCTCAGAACTGCAGGTGGCCTCCTCCCAGACAATGTGAAGCAGCAGCTGGGCAAGCGCAAAAGAGTGAATTCTCTGTGACCAGTGGGGTTTCCAAGCTCATGCCTCTGCAATGGTCATTTCCACTCCTTGTCTCCTGCCACTATCCCCACGATGTGTGGGATGGTGACTTGAAGAAGGGCTACCTATTTGCAAAGAAAGATGTCTACATTTAGAGTCACAGAGGTAAAAAGAAGATGTCTCTGTAAGTCCCTTTTAGGGGGAAGCTCCACAGCCGGTCGGAGATTCCCAGGGCTGGCTAAGATGGCAGTGTGAGGAAAGACCAAGCAAAGGCAAACATCATGCAAGGTACTCTCACAGTTACTCTCCACAGAGTGTGAAGTATGGTAAAATGACACAATAGGATTACATACAACTGCTCCAACCTTGTTTCAGAGCGTTTGGTTCAGAAGTAGTATCTGGCTGAGCCAAGGAAACGATCAGGTTGTTAGACGCAATGTCTTTGTTCTTAGAGAGATTCCTAATAAAACCAAAATTCCATGTTACAGAAAGCTGAGATCCAGTTAGAACATTCAACTAACCAGTGTTCTAGGCCCCTTGAGTACTTGCTGCCATAGTGCCTGCAGGAGTGTGAGAAGCAAATTTAAAAGAGTGTTAAGCCAGGGAGGCTGAGGCAGGAGGATTGTAAATTTAAGCCCAGTCTGGGCAACAGAGTAGCCTACTGAGATCCTAACTCATGACAAGGGGGTCAAGTGCACATGCCTTGGTCCAATCCTCCAGTGAGAGAGAATGAGGATACGTTAGAAGTCTAAAATAAAATCTAAAAAGCTGAGAAAGCAAGAAAATAGTTTCAAATGCTATCACACCAAGAACACAATATTTTTGCAGTTCTAAATTCATAATTCTTCTACGAGGTCAAACTCCAGGAAGCCAAATAATACCTGGCACCAGCCCCCACAGATAGCACATACTCACTAGGCAGTTTTTAGCAAGGATCAAGCCCATCTCCTGGGATATAGTCTGGGCAACAATATCTAGAAGACCTTTCTCCAAGATTCCTTAAATTTCTAAGTGCACTATGATGGCAGACCTTGTGTACCTGCCTGCCTCTAGGATCTAAGAGACAAATTGTCCATATCTCCTGGGCAGTATTTTAAGATGAAACTTGAAAGGGAAGAGAACAAAGCAAAAAGATATTTATACATGTACAAGGCCATTTGCAGGCCACTGATGAAAGCTTCAATATATCTAACTTAGCCAGACAAGGTGGCACACACCTGTACTTCCGCACCTACTTGAGAGGCTGAGGCAAGAGGATCACAAGTTCAAGGTCAAAATTAAAAGAAAAAAAACAAGTTCAAGGTCAATCTGAACAATTTAGTGAGATCCTATCTCAATATAAAAAAATAGGGCTAGGGATTTAGCTGAGTGGCATAAGGGCCTACCTGGCAAGCAAGAGGACCTGACTTAGATCCCTGGTACCAATAAATAAATAAATAAATAGAGCCGGGGATTTAGCTCAGGGCATAAGCACCTGCCTGGCAAGTGTGAGTTCGTGAGTTCAATCCCCAGTAAAAATAATAAATAAATAAATAAATAAATAAACAGAGCTGGGGATGTAACTCACCACTCTCTGGGTTCAACCCCCCAGTTCTTTAAAAACCCTTAAACCTAAACTCACAAAGAGCAAATGGCAAGTAAATTACAAGTTCCATTATTTTCAGTTTATACACATTTTAAATCACTTATTTATACCCCTTAAAAGACAGGTAAAGGCTAATCCTACCACTTGCTGGGCAGCAACAAAAGGATCACTATGAGTTTGAGGCCAGCCTGGCTATGTATTTTGCTCGAGGCCATCCTGAACTACATTAGTGAGGCTGGCTTGAAAGCAAGTGAGGAAAAAAAAAAAAAAAAAAAAGACAGGTAGGTGAAGCCATTCATACTTACTGCCTCTGATGTTCAAAGGATCCACCATCAGCTGACCCTCCAATCAGCAGCTCACAAGGGACTTAATTTAGGAGCCAAGAAACTGCCCTTCACCTGGAAAATAACATTTTGAATAATCTAGTATTTTTCAGAACTAATGACCTAACATGTTTTTTGTTCCTACACATGATCTCTGAGGAACAGAAGGGCTTAAGGGTCAAAAACAAATCTGTGTCTGTGGTTAAATTCTTCAATCTAGTTCCAAATGGGAAAAAGCCTAGCTGAAAAGCAAGTAAACTTAAAGCTGAAGAGAAAATTCTTGGAAAAAAAGTCCCTCTGAAGAGCTCTCAGGACATCTGAAAAGTCTGTTGAAAAACAAAGGTCTGGGAGGATACACATGCCACTGTTAATGGTGTCCTCTTGGGGAGAAGGGTTGGATGAAGGGCTGGGCAGGGGAAGAAGAGGGGCTATCTGATAGTTTACTTCAAGGCATCAGTATTTGATCTTTGAACAAAAGACACATGTTACTTATAGGAAGTTTCCCAAGAGCCTTTAGGGCATGCCTCCTCCTCCCAGCCATGCTACATCAGCAACAACCACCTTTTGGTGACTCCTATCAGGCAAAGCGCTGGTCAGCAGTGACTGCCATTCAGTGCTGCACCCACGTAGCTGGAACGTTCCAGGAAGGACAGGAGAGAGGAAGAGCCACAGAGCAGTTGTGAAAGACCAACTTAAAAAGCCATAGAAAACATAAAAAAAGCATAATGCCTGGCCCCAAATAACATTCCTGGCATCGAAGTTACCACTCTCACTGGTACCTAGTGAATCATCTTCTCCCTTCAGCCCTTTCCCAAGCTGCCTCACTGGGAGAAAAATACAAGCAGCAGGCAATAATTACTTCACTACAGAATTTCAGCGAGGAAAGATTTAACTGTCTTATTACTTGGGAACTTTTATGAAATTAATTCCTAGATTCTTCAGTTCCAAGTGTGACTTGGCACTAAAGGGCAGCTGGAATGCTTTGAGACACATCAGAAAGAGAAGATATGTGGTAGGTAAAAGCCTTTCTGTGCCTCTGCTCCTGGGTATTTTTAAGGTTTTTATATGTAGATGGTTGGGGTTACCTGAAAATACTGAGTGAAGAGTTAAAACATAAAAGTTACTCAACTACTACCCAATCCTCATTTCTAAATACCATCTGTCAATAATACAAGGAGTCAGAGCTCCCTAAAAAATGGCTGAACCCAGGGCTGAGTTGGAAAAGCAGACAGGTGCAGAATACCCTGTGCTGCCAAAGAGTAAGGCAGTGCTTACATCTCACAGGGGCACTAAGAGGCTGCAGCACAGCTACTACCACACTTAACAGTAAAACACTAAATGCCTTTCCTCTAAGATTGGGAACAGGGCAGAACACTTTACTCTCCCCACTTTTATTCATTTCTGTACTGGCAAGCCTAACCACTGCAATAAAGCAAGAAAAAGAAATCAAAGGCATGTAGGTAATAAGTAGAGAAGTCAACCTATTTATAGTATACAAGATTACATACACAGAAAATCCTAAGAAATCTTAACCCTTAGAACTAATAAGCAAGTTTAGTGAAGTTATAAGATATAAAATCATTATGTAAAAAAACAAACAAACAAACAAAAAAAGAATTTTACTTCTATATAATAGGAACAAACAAGTAAAAATAAAATAAAATGGAGCTAGGGGTATAGCTGAGTGGTAGAGCACTTGGTTAGCATGTCAAGGCCCTAGATCCATTCCCCAACACCACAAAAAATAAATAAACCAAATAATTGTATTCAAAACAATATAAAAAAAGAGTTAAATTATTTAGGAATAATTTTCCTTGTTTCTTTTCTTTCTTTCTTGGCTTTAGGTTCAATGCCTACTACTGAGAAGATTAAAAAGAAAGAAGCTCCTTCTGACCAAATCTAGGACAAAATGAAGAGCAGAAATGTTCATGAGTTCAATTACCAGTTTAAAAAAAAAAATCTGGGGGAAAGGGTTTAGCTCTGTGGCATAAGAACCCCTCTGGCAAGCATGAGGTCGTGAGTTCAATCCCCAGTGCCAAAACAAAACAAAACACTGACTGAATATAAGAATCCATTGCCAGGCATTGTGGCACACTCTTGTCATCTCAGCACTCTGGAGGCATAAAGACCGTTGCAAGCTCAAGATCAACCTAGACTAGAAAGTGAGCCCAAGCCAGCCTGAACTGCGTATAAGACCCTGTCTCAAAAAGACCCCCCCAAAAAAATAATATATATATATATATATATATATATATATATATATATATTCTCCACGATTCCAAACTGATATCAACAGTAAAAGAATGAAGGAAGCTAGGACTCAAGAGGCTGAGGCTGGAGGGTCACAAGTTCTAGGCCAACCTGGACAACTTAGAAAAATCCTGTTTCAAAATTAAAAAGGGATGGAGTAGCTGACCTGGCTTTTATGAGGTCCAGGGTTCAATCCTGAGTACTTAATAAAAGAAAAGAATAAATGATTGAAAAGAAAACTCTTCTAACTAGTAAATGTAGAATATCACCACTGGTAACCACCATAATAATAACTGTTTCAGGACTCATCGGTGAATCCTGAAACCCATAGATAAAAGACTATTAGATAATTCATTGTCTCAAAATACCTCCCTATAAAACATTAACTACAACAGGAAAAACTGTAACTGTAATGGTAGAATAATCAGGTAGATACCACTTAAATCAAGTGATCAAAGTTATCATTACTAATATTATGTGCTTCCTGATATGATTCACTGAAAGGTAAATCAATTCTTCAATTTTCAGGCAAAAGTACATCATTTTGAATGGATAACAAAAGTATTAAACAGTCAAATTGAAGGTCATTCTAGAGAATAATTGGCCTGTATTCTTTAAAAGTGTCAAAACTTTTAAAGACAAAGAAAGGCTGAGGAGCTACTTCATTAAAAGAAGACTAGAAAGACATGACTAGCAACACAGTGCATGACCTCAGGCTCATTGGCAAACTGGCAGGTTGGTAGATTAGATCATAGCACCACAGTACATGGTATTGAGGCAGGAGATTACAGCTAGGGCAAAGCAGACCAAACAAGTGAGTGTAATCTGTCAAAGTTAGGAGAACCAGGCACATATGCAGAACACAGAATCCAGGCAGGGAATACAGTTCAGTGGCACAGTGCCTGCCGGGTAAACGCAAGGTCGTGAATTTGATTATTGTACTCCCCATCCCCCAAAAAAGAAGAACACAGAATCCGCGATGACCTTGCAGTTCTTACACATTATATACCAAACCAATCCAAAAGTGCTAGCTTTGGTTTTTCATTTACATGTGGCACAAAACCAAGTGAGCCTCCTAATCTGAGGCCAGGCCAGCTGAGTTTCTGACAGGACAACCACCCCAAATGCCTTAGCTATTAAAAGGGAGAAGCCAACTCCAGGTACAAAAGACTCCCCTCCGTTACTTTCTAGGCTGTCAGGAGTCTCTTCTCCGGCTGACTCTTACTCTGCAGAGCACACTTCTTTTCTATCTTCAATAAACGTAAATTCTGTATCTCATTCAATTCTTTGTTCAAGATACCAAGAACCTAGCAAGAATCTTGCTGGAACCCTGTACAGTATCTTACCAATATTAATTTCCTGATTTTGATCATTATAAGGTGGCAGGGTAAAGACTCTCCTGGTTTTAAAAAATTTAAGAAGTTTTTAAGAAATATGGCAAAGTAAAGGGGCAATCTATCTGCAACTTAAATTTCAAAAACTTCACAAAACAGTTCATATATAAGAGAATATGAGTAACTAATAAAACACATATGGTAAAATATTAACATTTGATGAATCTGAGTAAAGGGGAAACAAGAATTCTTTGTACTCTCCACCCCCATACTTGGGATTCAGCCCAAGCCTCCAGGGCCTCAAGTATGCTAGGCAAGTGCTCTTTCACTGAACCACATTCCACACATTTTTTAAAAAATTTTAAATTTGATACAGGATCCTGCTTAATTGTCCGGGCTGAGCTTGACCTGAACTCTTCCTGCCTCAAACTCTGAAGTAATACGTGTACCACCACCCTCAGCCCTGTACTATTTTTTGTTTTTGATGGCTTTTGAGGCAGGGTCTCACTGTATAGTGCAGGCTGTCTCCCAGTGATCTTCCTGCCTCAGTCTCCCGAGTGCTGGGATTACAGGGGTACCCACCACACCTCGCCATTTTTTGTAACTTTTTGCAAGCCTGAAAATTGTTAATAAAGTAATTACTAAAGAGAGGCCTTGTTCTCTTCAGACCAGAAGGCAGGAGGTACACAATGAACTTCACCTTTTCTTTGAAACTATACTGGCAGAAACAGTTTCTACCAGTGAATGATCCAAACCTATGGACTTATGCCTTGCTGAATTACCCATAGGGAACTCCACTAGGGGGCCCACTTTGTCATCCCTAAGGTCCAGGAGCAAAGGTCACATGATTTTCATAAGGGACCTCACAGAAGTCTTCTAAATACAGCCACCTTAATATGAATTGGTCAACTAACTCAAACCACCGCAAACTGCAGGTGAATTTGCAAGCTGTGGAGACTCTGTGACTAAAGCTGGGTGAAATACACCCAGATCAAAGTTTCACAGTGAAAATACTAATACTTATTTGTGTGTTAAGAATGCTGAATGTGCTTTAAGCAGCTGTACGGGGTGGGGGGTTGGAGGAAGCAATCTTTGTGTTCCCCAACTTGGTCAACAACAGCAAGGTGTATGCATGCATGTCAAATTATCAAAGGGTGAATTATGCTCTGTGTTTAATTTTTGTGCATTTATAATTTGTTTTATTAAATGTTTTGTTTTAATTTTTCTTGTAGAATTCCCCCAATTCAGTACAATGTCACCATGAAAAACCACTTTTTCACCTTTGGGAGGAGGCTGAAAGTGATTCATCAGGTGATTGGACTACCAATGATGACTTGGATCATACATATAAAGAAGTTGGCTACAGGGGCTGGGGATTTAGCTCAGCAGCATAAGCACCTGCCTTGCAAGCAGGCGGTCGTGAGTTTAATCCCTGGTACCGATAAAAATGAAAAAGACAAAAAAAAAAAGAATTTGGCTACATGAACAGTA